TGTAGGATAAGGCAGAGTGTTGGCTCATGGTCTGCGGGGTGCAGGATAAGGCAGAGTGCTATATCCCCCCCCCCATCTCCAGCTTGGCTCATGGTCTGGGGGGTGCGGGGTAGTCACCATCCTCCTCCATCATTTGGGGCTGACCTCGGCCCTTTCCCGGATTTCGGTCGTACATTTAATTCCTATTTTTGGAAATGTCTGAATTTGTCTTTTTGAAGTTCTGCACCTGACTGCGTCCGGGACATTCCGCGTGGACGGCGTCTTCTCCGCCTCGCGCGTCTGCTAAATAGACCCGAAAATGTGTCCGCTCGGCACTTTGTGTTTCGGGAATGAGAGATTGAAGGTTCGTTTTATTTTAGGATTTGGATATAGCCGCCTCGTGCTGCTTGAGGCTCCCGTCTGCTGCGAAGGGGGCGGGGCAAGCAGCGTGGCTCTGGTGATGTCATAGCTACAGGGACACGGGGGTCACTGATTCTGGGCGTGGCTTAGATCGGCTAATCTGCATATTCCCGCCCCCTCCCATCACCTGAGATGACGCAGTTCGTAGGTCATTTTCTGAGATGGAAAGCGCTCGGCCGTAAAACTATTGAAGACTTTTGTTCAGAGCGGTCACTGAGGGTTAGGTGGCCCCTGGCCGGAGGTCATGCTGGGGGTCTCGATGGAAGTTGGGGGGACCTTAAAAATATTTCGCTTGGATATCGTATTTGACAATGCAACTGAAACAGGTTAAACCCCCCCCCCCCTCCATTGCACAGATTTATTCTTGCTTCCTGTGTGGTCACCGGGACAGGAAGTGAAGGTAAATCCTCCTAATAGGCACACCGCAATAATGGAGCTTCTTACCCCTCTCTAATCTCTCATCTGGGGCATTTAGAAAAAGGTCCAATGGGCCAAGATGGGGGGGGGGCCCAGCTTGGCGTACAGCCCCATTAAATCTGGGGGGCTGTACCCCTAGCACCTCTAGTGTAGGTGTTTGGCCGGCGCTGGAGAAGAATTGGGTCCAGAGTAGGGTAACCACTGGAGGAGACCACTGGTGTCATGGAAAAGAAAGCATTTCATGGGGGGCGGGGGGTATTTTAGGGTGTCTGGTGGGGTATTTGGGGTATTTCCTCTCCCTCAAGCCTTTTGAAAGCTGCTCTTTTTTAAATTGCACGCTGGGATCTTCCGTCACATGACCTGCGGCAAGAAGCAAGGCGTCATTGCATGCAGCCAACGGCATCCTCGGGTGGCAGCGGCTTCTCCGTGTTTGTCCTCGGCAGACATTTATTTCACAGGTCCCGTTACGTCTTCCCTGCGGCCGGGAGTAATACTCTGCTGATGATTGACAGGTCCCGTTACGTCTTCCCTGTGGCCGGGAGTAATACTCTGCTGCTGATTGACGCATACCATTACATCTTCCCTGTGACTGCGGCCGGGAGTAATACTCTGCTGATGATTGACAGGTCCCGTTACGTCCTCCCTGCGGCCGGGAGTAATACTCTGCTGATGATTGACGGGTCCCGTTACGTCTTCCCTGTGACTGCGGCCGGGAGCAATACTCTGCTGATGATTGACAGGTCCCATTACATCTTCCCTGTGACTGCGGCTGGGAGTAATACTCTGCTGATGATTGACACATACCATTACATCTCCCAGGTGACTGCGGCTGGGAGTAATACTCTGCTGATGATTGACAGGTCCCGTTACGTCCTCCCTGCGGCCGGGAGTAATACTCTGCTGATGATTGACGGGTCCCGTTACGTCTTCCCTGTGACTGCGGCCGGGAGCAATACTCTGCTGCTGATTGACAGGTCCTTTTACGTCTTCCCTGTGACTGCGGCCGGGAGTAATACTCTGCTGATTGACAGGACCGGCCGACCCCTTTCCAGACTTCAAATCGGATCCAGCTTTATTGTGGGGGAGACATTCCGCTCCAAGTCGGCGATATTCAGATCCTCACCTGCTTGTGTTCTGCAGATAATAAGAGAGACCGCTCCAGTAAACTGGCTGAAATCTTTTAAACGGAGTCATAAGTTGGAGGCTCCGTCCCTTCTGTAATCATGTGATCAGTCTCAACATTATAATAACCCCCGCCCCCCACCACCAGTACTGCCCCCCTAGGTGGACCCTCTCCTCCTGCTGATCCTGGATCTCTCTGCCATTGGGTGGAGCCGGGATTGGTGGGCTATAGACGTGTGGAGGGGCCGGGTGGCAGCTGCAGTTTTCTCTCCTTCCACCAAATTGTCTCATAA